AATATTAAACATTCAATGTTACAACATATATCAGTGGCGTGCAGTTGAAAGCGTGATAATCGTGCGAAAAAAATCGAAATAAAATAAAAGTGTGCAAAACGGAATTCCATGGCTAAATAAATGTGAAAAAAATTAAAGCATATCAATCGGCGGAGATTAGAATTTTATTAGATGCCGATGTATTTTTATTAAATAGCAAAAAAAAAAAACAACAAACACGCAATACACACGGAAATCTCATAACCCTTGACATTTGTGCAGAAACGTAAACATATCAATTATCTTAAAAATAGAGCCTTGTCCATGGACATTTATTAATAGTTTGTCTATACACATGCATACATATTTTTAAGCTATGAAAAAAGCAAAAAATGCTGCTAAAACAAATCCCTCTATGTCAATTATAAAATGGTAGAATCTACTTAATATATTCATAGAACATAAAACGTGTTTGTAAGATATTTAAAGGAAATCCTTAAAATCATTGCATTCGCCTAAAAGTATACTTTGAAAACCATAACAAAACTACTCCCCATTTATAAAACTGTGTGAAAGGAAAATAAATTTAGTGAAATTTGTGTCTCAAAAGTAAAAAAATTATAGAAAAACTTTCAAAGCAAAAACAAAGAATATAAAACAAAAAGAAGAATAGAAAAAAGAAACGAAATAAGAAAAGAATACGGAATAACAAAAATATATGCAAAAAAAGAATGTACGACAAAGAGATTTAAAATGCAAACCGTGTGCAAATGAAGGGAGAGTCGTTGTGTGAGAGCAGAGAAATGCTAATGTGGATTGTGTTGTGAAAGAGAAAATTTGTGTGACATAAACAAGAGGTGAAAAGAGAGAGAGAGAGCATTTTGCGTAACGAAAGTGTGTGGAAAAATCTACGAGAGTCATTTATAACGACAGCGAAGAGAAATTTGCAGAAGAGAGAACGGCATTTGAAGAAATATAAACAAAATTGAATTTTTGAAGAAAACGTTCGAAAGAAAAATATTAAATTTTTTGAAAGAAAAAATAAATAAATAAAGAAGGTAAATAAGATGACGTGTAATTTTCCTGACATCATTTAATACTCCGAGCCATTCCATATTCCAGCCATAGGTTTTGTGTTTCAAGTGGAATAGCTCCTTTGAAAAAAGCTAGTTTACACATCATGTAAGAGTGATATATGCCTGATATTATAAATATTTTATTAAGCAGTTTTAAAGCATACTTTTAGACGTTTCCCCACATTTTATAAGAATGAAAGATTTTGATTTTTTTTTTAATAGATATATTTATAGAATAAGTATAGATCAAAGTATAGTATATTATAGTATAGTACAGTATAACATAGTATATTATAGTACATCGAAAACCGAACACTGATCTACGACACAGACACTGGTGCCAAAAAAATACCATAAAAGGTTCAATATAGGGCCCTTTTCAATGGAACCTGATGTATGATGACTTACTAAAATTGAGTTTACCGCAGGGCATAAAACTGGTTGGATATGGTGGTGACGTCGCACTTGTCGTTGACCAACCTCTAGCTCCACTAGTTCCAATTACTGTGAATTATAGTCTAGCAAGGATCTCAAGATGGCTGGCATCAGTTGGAACTTACTGCTGCTAAGACAGAGGCAATTCTTGTAACCCGAAGGTGCAATTTTATTAGACCAAAATTAATGATGAATGGACATGAAATAATAATAAATAATAACAGATTATTCTTCGAGCCGTATGTCAAAGCCATAACAGACAAAGCTCTAGGAACTGCAAACATGCTATGTAGAATAATGCCTAATTTTAAAGGCCCAAACCAATCCATTAGAAGATTAATCGCCTCATTAGCCTATGCATAAATAATGTACGCGGCTCCTATTATAAGTATAGTATATCATTTCTGAATACGCCACTTTATAGTAAAGGGGAGTATATTAAAATATGGCATAGAATGGTGTAGTAGTACAGTGCAGCATTGTGCAGTAGAATATTCTATGGTATAGGATACTATTTTTTCTGTGAAGAATGGGTCATAATTTTGCAATTCTACAGACTTTTGAAGGTCTTCCATCCATAGAAACAGAGATTTTCCACATCGAGAATACCTTCCAGTGCTCTTCTATTTCGAGAACACTTTTCGTATGTCTTCTGTACATAAAGACCTTTAGGATGTTTTCCATAATATAAAGACTTCTTTAGGTCTTCTACCCACACAAGGACTTCAGGAGGTCTCCTTCTATTCATACAAAACATTCCTGAGTTTTTCTATCCATAAAATAAACTCTGGAGGTCTTCTACTTATCAAAGATCTCCTGGATGTCTTCCATTCACAAAGGACCTTCTTAAGTTCTTATATCAGTAGAATCCCTTTTGGAGTTATTATACATAATAGGAGCTACAGAAGACCTTTTTGAGGTATTATATACCTTTTGAATGTCCTCTGTACATATATGACCTTCCTGTCCCCTTCTTTACACAGAAGACCTTCTTAAGATCTGAAGGATCTTCTGGGGGATTATTTTATCCATAAAAGACACTTTACAGGTCGTATATACGTAGGATACCTTCTGTGGAGGCTTTCTATCCATATTATGCATTCTAGAGGTTTGGGTTTTCCGTGAGTAGATTTAGCCCCCATAGAATCCATTTAAACCAGTTCAATTTTTACATTTCGCAAAAAAATATTGAATGCAGGTCCACATTTTGGTAGAGACCATACGTAATTATAACCTCTGATGTTTGGTACTTCGGAGCGTTCTGCTACAATTTCCGACCAACTCAGCTGTAATTCGATGTTTTGGGTTCCACTGAGAAGATTTGCGGGTCAAAAAAAAAGAAAAAAAAAAAAAACATATAACCGCACCTCCTTCCAATACCTACCACATCTTAATATTAAAATAAGATTTCTACGATCGAATTTTGGAATAATAAAAAAAACTTGAAAATCTGAAATCAGTGTCCTATCTTCATCAAACTTAGTACATCCAAATATTTTCGGCAAAAAAGATCTTGAATATTAATAACTTCCCCAAAGAGAGAAAACAATGTCCGATTTGGTACGGTTTTTTTAATCCCAAATATTTTTGTATATTTTTTTATATAGTCTGAAAATGCAATATATCCACAACACTCTGATACCTTCCCAGAAACAAAATCTGAGAAAAAAAAGTTGTAAATATCTCATATTATTCAAACCCTCTTTGCAGCCCTGTTATTTAGTAGTAAAAAGGTGCCTGAGTACTTCAAGATATTAATGTTTATAATATTCTCTTTTTTTCAGATGACAACAACTATTATGGAAAGTAAAATTTCTTTAAATTAACAACAACAATATCAAAAAAGACAATTTCGAAAAAGTGAACTTAAAAAACAAGTCAGATTTAAAAATAAATACCCGGTGTCCATTTTTTAAAATTAAGAAGCCTAAAAACATAATTTCGACTACATTTGATGTCACTGGGTCCATAAATCAAAAATAAGTGGCATAAATATTATAAATACCGTTGCGGAAACCCTATTCATGAACTCTCTTTCGAGATCTCTTACATCTGCAAGTATTAAGAGATATTTTAATATTTTGTGTGGATTTTAAAATACGACAAATCGCAAAGAGAGTATTATATCAACGGTAAAACATCTGAGAATATTCCACAATTAAAATTGAGAAACTTCTACGAATCATAAACGATTGGAGTAAAGAGAATGGTGTAAGGAAGAGATAATTCGAGAGAAGATATATTTTAAATAAGAGAGTCTATACATAACATCCCATATAAAAGATATATACTCTGATGAAAAATTCTGCTACATGGAAAGATGGGCAATGAGCAAATAAAGGGATAGAAAAATAAAAACAAATTGTGAAAAAAGCCGCAAGAAAACGGAAATAAAAACAAACAGTGAAAATATAAAACAAAAAGAAGGCAAACTCTAAAAAATATATAAATAAAAAAGAAAAAAAAATAATACATATCAGATGTTTTCTAAAATATAAATTAATTAATGTAAAAAAAAACAAAATATTTTAACATTGACGGAAATAGATAAGAAAATATTAAAAATTTTAAATAAATGCAAAATAAGAAATATTTGAAAGTTCAAGTTAATAAATCATAAAAAAAAACGAAAGTACAGCTTTTTGGTAAAATTGTTAAAAAATATACCTTCAAATAATGTAACCGGAAAAGTATAAGAAAATAAAAAAAAAAACAAGGATATATGTTGGATATAAAAAAATTAAATAACAACCAAAAATATATGCTACATAAAAATCCATAAAAATTATAGTTAAGTGATAATTTTTGGACAAAATTAAAATTAAAAAAAAAAATATTAACTAAAAAAATCCATATATAAAAAATATAAATCTATTGCTTTGAAGAAAATATTAACCAAATAATTAAATTGGGACGTAGAAAAAATTAAAAAAAATAATTACAAGACATAAAATCGCGTAGTAAAATATATTAATAAAAAATAATTAAACAAATCGTTTAATATAAAAGTCACTAAATACAAATGAAATTTGTATTTATTTTATAAAAAATTAACAAAGCTTGGCTAATATTTGAAAAAAAAAAATAATATTTATAAATATTCAAAACAACAAAACAAATCAACAACAAAAATCTTATCTTAATAATAAAAATATTTGATTATTTAAACGGAATTTTAAATATGTAATTTAAGAATTAAACACTTAATGTAACGAAACATATCATGTTGTAAGCCTTAAGTACCCCGAAAAAAAAAAACAAATAAATAAATGTCTTAGTATTAACTTAATCTTAATTAAATATCGCATACATATCAAGCTCTCCAAGGGCAGCGTAAAGCGTATTTATACAAATATAAAAACTCCGATACATATATATCAACAAGAATATATATTCAACAAATACATATCATTGAAGTGTATTATTATTTACAAATAACATTTTACTTTATAAAATAAAATCAAAAAAATTTATAAAAAAAAATAAAAAGAAGACTATTTAATAAATAAGAAATTTTCGAAAACAAATATCTAATCCCGACTTAAAAAGAAACTGCAATTCTACTCATCAGAATTTTTGAACCCGCTACAAACTTGGTAAGTATACAAATTTCATTTATATGCAAACATTTTAATTTTGAAACCCATAGCTATAAATACAATTAATCCAAAATAGTCCGACTTAATTAAAGTGATATTTTTATTTTTAATAAATTACTCTCTACATATAAATAGAAGTTTTTATAAGTGGAACCAATTGGTATCGTTTCCTTAAACCCAATTAATTTCTTTAAAAATGCATTTGGTACACCATATTGCAAAATAGTTCTTCAGAAAAATAACTTCAAACAAGTTAGAAAGTATGAGTCGGTTTGGTCAAGAGATGTACACCACTTGCCCTGTTTGAATATATAAATATGTATTTATTTGCGTTATGATTGTTCAAGATTTTGACCCTTCATGGGAGGTTCCGAAAGGGACGAACCGATATATCCCATCTTCCCACCAGATCTTGTGTTGATAGAAATATTGGGTTTCACGCATTTTATAAGAGTTATAATTATTCCAAATTTTGACCCTTGTACTTGACGGATTGGGCCGATATTGTCCATTTTCGCCCCTGACCTAGCACTGACCAAAAAAGTCGGGATATGTCAAATTTGCACAAAATCGAATGATATTTTTTGTGAGTTAAATTATCTTCTTTGAAAATTTTTACATTTTGTGGGGAAGGTTCCACAAGCAGTGGACCGATGCTGCGCATCTCTGAGCTCGACCTAAGTTTGACAATAATATTACGATATTTGGATCAAATCGGGTACTCCTTTCAAGAGTTATGGTGCGCACCAGCAAGTCAGTCAGCCAGACAGACGGACGGACGGACACCATTAGATCGACTTCAAATGTCCTGAAACGGATTTAATCCAAAGACTGTTGATATTGGGCACGTTATTTGTAATTTTGACACACTATTAATTCGGGATATTAGATATGGTGGTGTTAGTACTAAAAATTGTACTTTTAGAGACAGAATTGATAAATTTTTATATCCTCCACCATACTATGGAGGGTATATTAAGTTTGTCATTTCTTTCGAAACTCCTCGAAATACTCAAAAAGTATTTATATTTTTGATCAGCATAAAATTGTATGTCGATTTGGCGATGTCCGTCCGTCTGTGAAAATCACTCTAGTTTCCGAACGAATTGAAGTAAATTATTAAAATTTCACTCAAATGTATGTTATGTCTGCAGGACTTTTGGTATTAAAAATGGGCTATGTTGGCCCACGTTTTGGTATAGCTCCCATATAACGGTGCCTCCCAATATTCGGTATTTTGATGATTTTAGCGAGATTATTCACCCTAGTTGATTCAAATTTGGTATTTGAAGTTCGAAATGAATACTACAGCCTATGACAGAAAATTGTCTGTGCAGGTCTACGTCTTCGTATAGCCCCCACATAACGGCACCTCCCTATTTTCGATATTTGGACGATTTTGGCGACATTATTAACCGGAATTGTTTCAAATTTAGTATTTGAAGTTCGTAATGGATACTACAGCCTAAGACAGAAAATTGTTTCTGAAGGTTCACGTCTTCGTATAGCCACCATATAACGGTACCTCCCGATATCCGGCATTTTGATGATTTTAGCAAAATTTATTCACTGGAATTGTTTCAAATTTGGTATTTCAAGTTCGTAATGGATACTACAGACTGAGACAGGAAATTGTCTGTGCAGGTCTACGTCTTCGTATAGCCCTCATATAACGGTACCTCCCGATATTCGGTATTTTGATGATTTTAGCGACATTATTCACCGGAACAGTTTCAAATTTGTTATTTGAAGTTCGAAATGTATACTACAGCCTATGACAGAAAATTGTTTGTGCAGGTCCGCGTCTTCGTATAGCCCCCATATAACGGTACCTCCCAATATTCGGTATTTTGTTAATTTTAGCGTCATTATTCACCAGAATTGCTTCAAATTACGTATTTAGAGTTCATAATGGGAACTACAGTCTGTGACAATAAATTGTCTATGCAGGTCCAGGTCTTCGTATAAGCCCCATATATCAGTACCTCCCTATATACGGTATTTTGACGACTTTATCTACAATACCCACTGAAATTGTTTGACATGTCGTATTTGAAGATCGTAATGGATGCTACAGCCTAAGACAGAAAATTGTCTATGCTGGTCCAGGTCTTCGCACACCTCCGATATAACGGTACCTCCTTATATACAATATTTTGATGATTTTAGCTACATTATTCACCGTTTATTTCATGTTTCGAATTTGAATATGGTAATGGCTTATGACAAACAATGCCTATGTAGGTCCACGTCGTATAGACCCCAATATAACGGCTATATTCGGTATTTTTAAAATTTTAACAGAATTTTTTAAGGATTTTATTTTTTGACAATTTTCATATTCGTTCCAAATGGTGAAGGGTAATCAAAGTTCGGTCCGACCGAACTTACTGCCTTTTAACTTGTTCTGTATAACTTTGTACTATGTTTTTTTGCGAAAATCGTCGCAGATTCTTGGGAATAAAGAAGTAAATTTTGCATAGACTAAATATTCTATAGTGTGGTTCTGAAGCCAAAATTCCACACTATTTGCGTTAAAATTTGCTATTAAAGTTAAAATCTTGATTTTTTCGCATTTTTATACCCTCCACTTTCAAATATATATGGATCTTCCTAGCTCGCCGAGCTGAGTCGATCTAGCTATGTATGTCCGTCCGTCCGTCTGTCCATGTTAATTTGTAATCAAACTACAGGTCGCAATTATGGCCCGATTGTTACGAAATTGAAAATGGAGGTGTGGTTAGGGTCAGAATATTGTTTTTGGAGATGATCGCAAAATATTAAGCGGTTGAAATGGATCAAAAACAGAAAAAAGACTTGATTTTGCAGTTGATCTACAGTCCACAATTATAGGCCAATTGGCGCGGAATTTTGCATTGAGTTAGAGTTTAGGACTGGGCATAAGCGTACAAATTTGGATAGTCATCGGACAACATTTAGCGGGTAAAAAAAAACCATAACTTTATTGTAAAAAATACGAAATATTCCACTAAACCGCGAATATTTTTTATCCTGGCGAAATCACAAATACACGAAAATGTCACTTCTGACCGTTACATTGATGCTTATATCCAAAATCTCGCATTTATAGCAAAATATATACAATCTCAAAGAAGGGAATGTTAGTTAGATCGCTGATAAGTCAAGGACCGCTGGATTGATTTTCACAATTCTCATCAATTCGGAATGGTCTCTTGCCAGAAAAGCATAACACAAAAAAAAAAAAAAAAAAAAAAATTTGCGTAAAAATATGCCATTAAAAAGGTGAATATTTTTTGTTAAATTTCTTTTTAATTTTTGTCATATTTTTTATCGCATGCGATTTTTTCAATTTGTCTTACAATTTCGAATTGTAAATTTTTAAAGTTTTTCTACACCCCCCAACACCATGCGTTGAAGGTATTATATACAGGTCGCATTTATCGTCCGATCCTCACGAAATTTTGCATTGGTTAGGGTTAGGGTGAGAATTAAAGCCTACTGTAATGGAGATTTAAATCCAGGGGTTCAAATGGACCAAAAAAGCATAAAACATTTTCCTGAAAGAGGAAAGAAGTCGAGCATATTGGATGACCATTGGATTATATTTAGCTGTAAAATGGACCATGAATTTTTTGAATTTTTTTTCTGAATACATAACACGGCGGACTGCGTAAATATGGGTAACATCTGGGCAGGCCTCTATGACATTATTTCAATATCGAAATCATCCAAAATGAATTTGGACATAAGGGAGCTTCCAACATATTGTAGTGTTGTAGGGTATCAAATGGTCGGCCCCGCACGACTATAGCCTTTGCTTACTTGTTTTATATTAAGTATAATTAATATAATATAGCGTTGATTAAAAAAAAAGGTCAATGCTCTTAAAAGTATGCTACATAAATGTCAAATATAAAAAGTCACTTTACATGTGACTAACATAATGTGTAAATTGTCCTTTTGTAAGACAACTCAATCAATTACACCAATGAAATTTCAAATTTGTCGCTATTACAAAAAAGACAAAGAGCAAGTTTAAAATTCTTTGCAAGGTCCCCATAATTGGTTTAATTTATTTTTACTTCTTTTTTACTTTTCTGTGAAGAATACTTCCATATTTACCCTAGAGCGTGCCATAATACCTAGGGTTATTTTAGTTTTTATTGTGTTTGTTTTTTTACTTGTTTAACATTTTTGGCTTTGGTCTCGATTTTTTTTGCCTTGCTTTGTTTTGTTTTCTTTTACCCCGCTTTCTTGGTGAAATGCCTTCTTTGCTGGCTGGCCTTCTGTTTCGCCGAGAGAGGGCGAGAAAGAGAGACCGACTGTAATGGATATTAGCACATTTTTATGCGGTAAATTTATTCTTTTATATAAAAATAATACAAAAAAAGCAAAACAAGAACAACAAAAAAAACCCAGCCACATAAATTGGGTGTAGATGTAGAGCATACTTTTAGGCTGTAAATATATAAAACACACAAGGACTACTTTTCTGCGGGTTATAACAATGGCATGGCAAGTGGAAGAGAAAAAATAAATGGAAAACAAAAGAAAAACGCAACTTTTCTTCTTGAATTCAGTTGCGGTAAACTTTTTGTTGTCGTCGTTGTTGTTACAAACTTTATTATTAAGGCAATTATTCGAAGAAAAGCCCAAGTTCGCTTATAATTCATATTTGAGTTATTAATAATGAAATGAATTACTTAAGGTTATTTGTCACAAAGAACAATAAATAAAATGTAATCTGAAAAGTAATTTTTCCGCAAAGACGGCATACCATCCCCTCCAAACACACACACACATTTACAAACTTAACTCTTTAAAGTTTCCATTTTTTTTTTTTTTTTTTTTTGATAAACTCAAACGAAGTTATTTTTCTTTAATTGAATTTTTAATAAGACGCATATTTGTGTGAGACCTCAAAACCAAATGTCTTCCAAAGCCTACCCTCATCTTTTCTTGTAAATTCCGACCCTGTGACCCAGTGACATTTTAATTGCCTAACAAGCTGGCAT